ACTTCCAAGCCCTGTCTTCTATTCTTGTCCAAGTTGTACTATTCCTCTGGGGCTGAGCTTGCCAACCATGTTTTCCAGACTTTCCTGCCAGTATCCTGTTAGGTTTTGCCTAGGGAGACTGGAAGGGAAGAAGGGATTTCTTTGCTGTTTTCATTGCTATAATATCAGCATTGATCAAGCAAGAGGAGGAGTGTTGCACCTCCCAACTCCAGCTGTGCCCCTTCTCTCCTGGTGGTTGAGTACCAGCTGAATGGCATTCCACTCGGAGATCAGATTACCAGCTGCAGGAGGACCTCTCTGAGCTTCCAGGTTCTTCTCTTCTGTTCCCCCAAACCCAGGGGTGGTAGTGCTTCCTATATGGATTACCTCAGTGTCTTTTGTGCTCTTTCATCTTGTAACACCTGTGCACCCAATTTCCAGAATTAAATTCTCTAAAATGCTACACATGGTTTTCTAGGCCCCGATTAATACAAAAAGAAGAAAACACATACCTGCATCAAAAATTACTCATACAGTGCTGGTAAGCAGCAATCTGGGCTTTTCATACCCTCAATAAAGAAGTGATGTAAAAAATGGAGCCCATTTTTACAAGATTACAATTAGAGTTTCTGCTTTCAGACACTGATGAATCTCAAATTTAACAAATCATTAAAAAGATGCTAAGTTATAGAGTGTAAAATGTCTCAGAGGCCTGGCACAGTGGCTCACGCCTGTAATCCTAGCACCTTGGGAGGCAGGTGGATCACGTGAGGTCAGAAGTTCAAGACCAACCTGGCCAACATGGTGAAACCCTGTCTCTACCAAAAATACAAAAATTAACTGGGCGTGGTGGCGCACGCCTGTAGTCCCAGCTACTCCGGAGGCTGAGGCAGGAGAATCGTTTGAACCTGGGAGGCAGAGGCTGCAGTGAGCCGAGATGATGCCACTGCACTCCAGCCTAGGTGACAAAGTGAAACTGTATCTCAGAATAAATAAATACATAAAAATAAAATGCTTCATACACACAGAAATGGGACACTTAGAAGTGAGAAGGGAGCATAGACAGGAAAGTGGGTGACATCAACACAAACTTATGTTTGTGAGTCTATCTCACCTACTCTTTAAGTCTAACATTCCTGCAAACCTCAAAATCAACATCATAGTACTATATTGTCTCTTTATAGAAATAACATTGACAAACAGAAAATGATTCGTCATATTACTCGATGACTAGATCAGGTTTTTGGAAACCAAAGAAAATGTGGTAGCAATGGTACCTTTGACCTTTATCTACCATTCTAACTCCCTAGCGGACTGCACAGACCTACTGAAAATCAATGGTGGGTAATGGATATCATTTCCAGCATGGGAAAGAGCGATTTAGAGTTACCATTCTTTTTTCTTATTATACAACTGGACTCGGCATGTACAAGTGTCTAGAGAGTCTCCTCTCCATTCTACCTCATGCCTCCTTAAACACATCCTCACTTCTCCAGCAGGGTGGTACAGACTATGGAACCAGAATACTGCATTCCATTTCCTGCTCTGCCCCTTACTAGCAACCTGGAGAAGTTTCATTTGACTTTTTCTATGTCTTAGTTGTATCATCTGTCAAATGAAGGAAAACAACAGAATCTACTTCATAGAATTACTGGGGACAAAATGAGTTACTATTTGAAAAAGGGCTTAAGGGGACATGGTATATAGTGAGTGCTATGTAAGTGTAACTTATTATTCCACGTACAAAGACAACGGGGACAGCAAGAGATGTTGAAGGGACAGTTACATTATTATTATTATTATTTTACACTGGGTGAAATAATGTTTACAGATCACATTAGGAATTTTGACCATACAAATACCTCTATCATAGAGTTCTTAATCATTTTTGAATCATAAACTCTCTTGGGGATGGGTGAAAGCTACAGAGCTCCTCCCCAGAAAAATGCATACACATACAGAATTTTCCAAAATATTACAATCTTCTTCAATTCAAATCACTAGACTATGTATTGCTAGAACACTAGAGGGTGCCACAACCCAAGGAAAAAATGTAAAGAAAGTACAGGGAATTTTGGCTTGCTGGAACATCTTTCCATAGAGAAGAGTTAAATGAATGTACTTCAAATGCTTTAAAATATGTCAACTCTTTTATAGGTGCTGGATTAGCACTGTCCAGTAGAATTTTCTGCAATGATGGAAATATTCTTAATGTGTGCTGTCCAAAACTATAGCTGCTTATGTAGACTACTGACCACATGAGATCCTAAGGAATTAAGTGTTTAATTTTAATTAATATTAAATGGCCATATGTGGCTTGTGGCTACTATACTGAACAGTGCAGTTCTACGTTCTAAAAAGTTTTGACTTGCTGCTTACCACAGGCCATTATCTAACAGTGTGAAGGTAATTTCTAATAGAGTGGGTTCATATAATTATTTAGGCCAATTTGTCCCTTGTGATAATCCAGCACTATAGAGATAGAAATAAAGATTGTCAGCGTTTTGCCCTTGCCCTACAGACATTCACAGTCAAAAGTAGGCTGTTTATTTTACTTATTATAGACGACCCTACCTACCTAATTTCCTGTTTCTTTACTGAAAGATCTCTGTAAGCCCCTGGGATATAAGAGCTTAAAATATATATATAAATGTATACTGAAAGACTGAACTAATACAGTTAAGTAAGTAGGCTTTTGCCATTTAAAAAACAAATCCTATTCTAGTGATATTTGCTAACGGTTAAGGGAGCACAGAGAAGACAAAACTGCAAGGACATGGGGCAGGCATCCTGATGGAAAAGACAGTCTACAGTCAGAAGCTTGTCAGTCTCCATAATGAAAAAAAGGGTACCGCAGGCAGCAGCAGCAGCTTGTGAAAGCACATGGCACAGCAAGGGGACATCAATGAACACCCAGACAGCAGATTCAGGGGGAGTCTGGGGACCAAAGGAACACAGCTCTCAACTGCCTCCACACCAAATTCTTTCTTTCCACTGCAATTTAGTCTACTAAAAATAAATCTAATGCTGACCCACCTGTCAAAATGAAAGCAGTCTATCCACACTGTGTAACACCTTACAGCTTACAACCCCGTGTCTGGCACAGTGCCTGAATGAAGTAGGTGCCTAGTGAAGGTTGGTGACAACAATAAAAAAGCATTAGAGAGTGCATTCTCAAATATGTAGACGCTTACCAGCAGCTACAAATATCAATAAAAAGCAGGTGAGTTGTTGAAGCTATCCCTGGTTTAGAAAGATAGTGAATAGGAAGTTTGGTCTACCCAAGCATTTGCAACTGGGTCAGAATGCAGCTGGCATGGCTCTTTTTGTAGAATAATTGTTTGTCCACAGCTGCTACCAAATTACCAAAAATTAAATAAGTAGTTGCCATGTGTGATAGCAGGATTACAGGCTGCTTCAATTTCCATTATGGAAAAATAACGTAAATTGCCACAAGTCCCGCCCCCCAGTCTCAAATAAGCACAAAGGACACTTTTATTCAGATCCTGCATACTGTGAAACAGCATTGTTGCCTGGCTGCTTCAGTGGAGGGTTCAATTCTGCTGGATCTGTCACTGCACAACCAACATCCAGTTAAAGCTATTTCCTAGCTTCTGTAGGACAGCTCAATTCATGATTTTTCTTCTGAAATAACTGAACTAAGGATTTGTTTCTGGATTAAATTATGAAAGTATTTAAGTGCCAATACCACAGACCTAGGAATCTCTGCTATTCAATCATTCTCTCCTTCATTCAACAAATATTTACTGAATTCTTATCAGGTACTCGCACATTATTGTAGCATGTGTATTCCAAGAAAACATGTGACTGGCAATTCTAATTTTGTATCTCTAAGTTTAAAAAGTGTATTCTCAGCCTGGATGAAATGGTGAAACCCCACCTCTACTAAAAATACAAAAACCAGCTGCGTGTGGTAGTACATGCCTGTAGCCCAGCTACCTGGGAGGCTGAGGTGGGAGGATGGATTGAGCCTAGGAGGCAGAAGTTGCAGTGACTTGAGATTGCATCACTGTACTCCAGCCTGGAAAACACTGAGACCTTATCTCATTAAAAAAAAAAAAAAAGGTTTTAAAAAAATGTATTCTTTTAGACATGACTTGTGTTCTTTGGGAGTAATAGAGAAAATACAGGGGCATTAAAAATAAACATAAATCACTGTAACCTGAGATAGCCACATTACCAAGTTAACAATTTTATGTATATGCTTCCAGCATTTTCCCTGCTAGCTTCTTATATGGTTGGTTTTGTTTCATTGTTTTTAAACAAAAATGAGCCTATATTGTATATACTGTATTACAAATATTTTTTCACTTAATATAAATTAAAATATTCCATATTATTAACATTTTTGTATCATTTTTTAAACGTCTACAGAGCATTCCCTATAAGAACATAAAGTAGTTTAGTTTACTAATCCTCTGAAGTCATTTAGGTTATTTCCAATTTTTCACTATTATAAATAGCACTGTTATGATAACTGTAGTATTCAATAAATATCTCTTGAATAAATGAGTAAATAAATGGTTTAATAAGCTGAGTCTTGGCCGGGCGCGGTAGCTCACATCTGTAATCACAGCACTTTCGGAGGCTGCGGCGGGCGGATCACTTGAGGTCAGGAGTTCGAGACCAGCCTGGCCATCTGGGTGAAACCCCGTCTCTACTAAAAAAAGTACAAAAAATTAGCTGGCATGGTGGCGAGTGCCTGTAATCCCAGCTACTAGGGAGGCTGAGGCAAGAGAATTGCTTGAACCTGGGAGGCGGAGGTTGCAGTGAGCCGAGGTTGTGCCACTGCACTCCAGCCTAGGCGACAGAATGAGGCTCTGTCTCAAAAAATAAAATAAGCTAGGCAGGGCACAGTGGCTCACGCCTGTAATCCCAGCACTTTGGGAGGCCGAGGCGGGTGGATCACGAGGTCAGGAGATTGAGACCAGCCTGGCTAACATGGTGAAACCCTATCTCTACGAAAAATACAAAAAATGAGCCGGGCGCGGGGCACACGCCTGTAGTCCCAGCTACTCTGGAGGCTGAGGCAGGAGAATCGCTTGAACCTGGGAGGTGGAAGTTGCAGTGAGCCGAGATCACTCCAGCCACTGCACTCCAGCCTGGGCGACAAAGCGAGACTCCATTTCAAAAAAATAAATAAAAATAAATAAAATAAACTGAGTCTTTAAGCACATACCAAATTACTTCCTTAGCTTTTAAAAGACAAACATTTTGAGCAATCATACACTTATGATTCTGCATATGTTCATAGCAGGCAGAGAAAGCAAATGCAGTAAAAACAGCAATCTAAATATAAAGGAAAGCACACAATACTTGGTGGTGAATGGAAGACAGAATAAAAATATTAACCTTCTATAACCTAGACAATATGTAAGTTGAGTACTGGTGTCAGCAGGTAGAATATAAAAAGAGGAACGTGAAGGGGGTACTTATAATCCCATTTTCCAAAATGGCAAGTTAAGAGGCCCTACAGGAAGTTGATGGATCAAAAAATTAAAGTTTATCATTTAAAATTATAGATGATTAATACATGACTTTCAAAGTAATATAAATATAAAATAATGACGGGGTAAAAAAGTGAGTTAAATTCTCATTTTTCACATCAAAAAATTCACAGATAACGTCTAAAGTTGATAAATCAAGGAACAAAAGTCTAAATGTATTATTTAGCCTTATGGAAGTAACCACAAGGGAAGCAAAAAACAGAAATAGTGAAATAGTTTTTAAAGGCTGTCTCTGCATAGTAGGACTGGATGGCCAAGAAAAAGGAAGAGGCAGGAGGCTTATGGTTTACTTATCATAAGGTCTCCATGGCTCTGTGATTTGTTAGGATGTACAAATAACACCCTGATAAAGATTGGCTGAAAAGTCTGGAACTGTTTACTTTGGTTTCCCAAATGATATAATCTTACCTTGATAACTGGTCAAATCCAGCTGTCCACAGAGCATTCCTTTAACCAGAGGCAAACCTAAAATGCTTAAGACTTTGGAGACTATCTAGTTTGATGTTCTCATTTTCCAAATTGTGACCAAGAAAGACCCAGTGAGTTACCCAAAGTCACATCTCTAATTGCTGGCAAATCCAAAACTTGAACCCCTATCTCCTGCTTCTCAATCAAGTGTTCCAGCTGCTCCATCAGAGACCCACCCTTTGTACCCGAGCACAGTCTCCCATCATTACTTGCTTGGGCTCCTTAACTGCTAATGTAAGCTATTATGTATTAATAGCTTAATAATTAAGCTATTAATTATTAATCTTCAAGCCAAAATTTGGGTTTTACTGGGGGTACAGCGAATTTGGGTTTTGTCTTTTATTTTATTTCATTTTATTTTTTTTGAGACAGAGTCTCACTCTGTTGCCCAGGCTGGAGTACAGTGGCACGACCTTGGCTCACTGCAACCTTCGCCTCTAGGGTTCAAGTGGTTCTCCTGCCTCAGCTTCCCAAGTAACTGGGATTACAGGGATGCATCACCACACCCAGCTGATTTTGTATTTTAGTAGAGACAGGGTTTCACCATGTTGGCCAGGGTGGTCTCGAACTCCCGACCTCAGGTGATCCACCCACCTCGGCCTCCCACAGTGCTGGGATTACAGGCATGAGCCACCGCGCCTGGCCAGGGTTTTGTCTTTTAAGAGGCAGGGTCTCACTCAGTCACCCAGGCTGGAGTGCAGTGGTGCAATCATGGCTCACTGCAGCCTTGACTTCCTGGGACCCTCCTGCCTCAGCCTCCCGAGTAGCTGGGACTACAGACGTGAGCCACCATGCCCAGCTAATTAAAAAAATTTTTTTGCAGGGACCAGGTCTCACTATGTTGCCAGGCTGGTCTTAAACTCCTGGGCTCATGCGATCCTCCTACCTTGGCCTAAAGTACTTGGATTATAGGCATGAACCAGAGCATCCAGCCTTGAATTTGTATTATAAAATGATATGTATGTTAAACTGATTTTTCAAACTATACCTGTGGCCACCCATCCTGGTCCCTCTAATACATCTGTTTCCTCCACCCTCAACCCCACCATCACTGCCTTAGATAACACACAATAGCTACTTTGAGAGCTGGTTCCCGCAAACTGAGAGGCCTGACAGCATGATTCCTGTCTCTTATACACATCTAGAACCCCACCATCACTGCCTTAGAAAACACACAATAGCTACTTTGAGAGCTGGTTCCCGCAAACTGAGAGGCCTGACAGCATGATTCTCAGCCACACGAAAAAATGCAGTTCATAAAGTTGCCAAAGTAGTCTTGTGAAGCTACAGTCTTCTGTGAGCACCAGAGTGTTCAACTGACTTTATGTTCTTCTTCACCTATATTAACCTGTTTAGCTAACTATCCATTCCCATTTTCAGTAGATGGAAAGAGAAAAAAATTACTTTTTTAAAAAAAGGGGGGTGGGAGGGCACAGTGGCTCACGCCTGTAAATCCAGCACTTTGGGAAGCTGAGGCAAGCGGATCACCTAGGCCAGGAGTTCGAGACCAGCATGGCCAGCAGGGTAAAACCCCGTCTCTACTAAAAATACAAAAATTAGCCGGGTGTGGTGGCACACACCTATAATCCCAGCTACTCGGGAGGCTGAGGCAGGAGAATGGCTTGAACCCAGGAGGTGGAGGTTGCAGTGAGCTCCAAGATCATGCCACTGCACTGCAGCCTGGGCAACAGAGCAAGACTCCATCTCAAAAAAAAAAAAAAAAAAAAAAGGGTTGGGGGGACAAGGGGCTGACTTTTTAAGGAAAATGGAGAATTGGGCATACCATTTTTATGTTTGTATTAAATCAATTTATAAAAATTATTTTAAATTGAATTTTAAAAGGTATGAAAATCTGTACAGATACTTATTTATATAAATTTAGGAAGAAAGAAACAACAAACTGTAAAACTGGAACCACGCCAATTACTGGAAATCAAGTGTATACAGAGGAGTCAAGATCAGGTCGGGTGTGGCGGCTCACGCATGTAATCCCAGCACTTTGGGAGGCCGAGGTGGGCGGATCACGAGGTCAGGAGTTCGAGAAGAGTCAAGATCAAATAACCAAAATCCCCATAAATTGTCAGGAGTTTGAGAGCAGCCTGGCCAAAATGGTGAAACCCCATCTCTACTAAAAACAATAATTAGCCAGGTGTGGTGGTGCCCGCCTATAATCCCAGCTACTCTGGAGGCTGAGGAGGGAGGATCACTGAAGCCCTGGAGGTCGAGGTTGCAGTGAGCAGAGGCTGTGTCACTGCACTGCAGCCTGGGGGACAGAGTGAGACCCTGTCTCAAAAAAAATTCCCATATTTACTTTGTGAGTTAATTCATTGAGATAAACTGTATCTTGAATTACTTACAAAATTAAATTTAGGATGCCATATAATCAAAATTACAGGCACAGTAGTAAGAAGGAAAAAAAAAATCACATTAGAATCCTACAGAAGGATGTTAAAGTAAAAAAGCATATTATATTTCAAGACTAAAACAAACAAAATTTATAAAGTAATTGAACATAAAACTAAAATGCCTTTACCTAAAACTAGGCATAACATCTCCATTTTAGAATTTGTTTAAGTCTATAAAAGATATCACTAAACTCATAGAAGGAGGGAAGAAATGCTACCTAAGTTCCTAAAGAAATCAAAACTACCTAAATAACATTTACACTATATTTCCTGTTTAAAAAAACCCATCACCAAAATTTTTCCATGACTACTACCAATGTTGCCATTTAGGACAAGTATAAGCTAGAGAAGAATTATCCTATAAGAATAAAAAATATTTTTCTCAAAAGCACTTTCTCAATGTAATGTTTGATAAAATTCTCAAAAACAGAAGGGGAAAAGAGGCCATCAAATGTAATTTACCATACCCACATTTATCAGCAGCTACTCGGTCCTGGGCACAATGGATGTCCTGCAGCTGGCTGTCAAACCATCAAAAGCTGCACATCATCCACCTTTCTAGTCTCTTAGAACTAAGCTCACTTGGGTCAAAACAAGTCAACCGCCTTTCTCCCCAGCAGTAATATGCTGGAATAAAGTGTCAAGTATAATTCTGGCTGCCAAGATTTTGTTCTGAAGAACAGACTTGTAACTATGAAAGGGGACATTAAATTAGAGCTATTGTCTGAAAGAAAAGGGCAATCTGTATCTGTAGCTTGACTGGGATAACACAGGTCTTGATCTGTAGTCAAACCAGAGGAAAAGGAAGCAACCAGAAAAAAATAACACATATCACAACCCCCAAAAAGAGTGAACTATTGAAAAAAAAAAAAAGTGTGCCAGTAGCAATGTACAAATAAAACTAGGGTCATACTTTGGAATAGATTCCATGTGCTGTGCAACAAGGAATATTAACCCCTGGTACAGAGAAATATCACAGAAGCCTTAAAGCAGAGGTATCCAGTCTTTTGCCTCCCCTGGGCCACATTGGAAGAATTGTCTTGGGCCACACATAAAATACACTAACACTAATGATAGCTGATGAGCTTAAAAAAAAACAAAAAAGAAAATCACAAAAAAATCTCATGTTTTAAGAAAGTTTATGAATTTGTGTTGGGCCACATTCAAAGTCATCCTGGGCCACATGCAGCTTGTGGGCTGCAGGTTGGACAAGCTTGTCTTAAAGGATGAAATAGATTTATGTGTATTGACACACAAAAAAATCCATGAAATGATGGAAATTGAAAACAACAGGTTATAAAATCTGCTAGAATGAGTGTGGTCTCATTTTTTTAAGTGTAAATAAATATGGTTGTGGCCAAACAAAATAATCTTGAAAGATATACTAAAACTATTAAGAATACTTTTTATCTATGCAAAATAGAATTACGGATTATAAAAACTTTATTTCTGCTTTATAGATTTCTCCCTTCAAAATAATAAGAATGTGATTACTTTCATAACCATTGTTATGCCCAGGTTTGAGAAAGAAAAGACAAACAGCATAAGCTCTTCCTCCTTTTACCAAATGAAATACCAGAGGCCTCCAAACTCATGAAATCAAGGACACATACGGACTTTCCAAGTTGTCCAACGTCCTCTGGGAGCCATTTTCTTCCTTGCTTGCTTTTTTGCAGGGGTTTTCAATGAATTTTTTTTTTTTTTTTTTTTTTTTAAAGCAGA